ATGTTAACTGTAGTTATTCAAAACATAATTTGTAGTTAATCAATTGTAGACTAATTGAGCAAATTAGTCAGCCTAAAATAGACATTAAAATTTCTGCATTTTTGTGGCCACACCAGAGGACTGATAAGCCAGATATATAAGTCAGAGAGAGGTTAGGTTCATTGTTGCAATGCTGAATCACTTCTGAATTGAACTTTTGCTTTCAATAGAATTTGATCCTCAGTCTCTCTAGGCTTAATAACCAAATCCATTTGTCAGGAACTTGGGTGTATCTGGCACAGGTTGCCTTTTGATTCAATTGAGAGAAGATGATGATTAAGCATTTAGTATTTCAGATTCAAAGAGTCTAAGCTAAAGTGCCTCATTTTGAATTGAAAACAGTTGCTTTGAGAGCCAGTTTGTTGTAGTGGCTTTGATTCTAATCTAGACACTGGGAGCCTATGAATCTTAGTCCTCCCTTTGGTGTGAAAATCAATTGGGTGACTCTAAGCCAGGGGTCAGTGGTGGGTTTCTACCGGTTCGCCCCAGTTCCCATGAACTGGTAGTGGTGGCAGCAGGAGGCTCCGCCCACCCACCTGGACATCATCATGGACGGTCTGCGCATGCACAGAAAGTTCTGTGCATGTGCAGAAGCGCCACACGCGAGTGAAGCGAGCACGCACACGCATACACTCCCGGTTCCAAACCGGTAGCAAAGGAAAGAGGAACTCACTACTGCTAGGAGTGTCAAACTCAATTTCTTTGAGGGCCGCATCAGAGTTGTGTTTTACCTCAGGGGGCCAGGATGGGCGTGGTCAGCTTGATGTCACTCGTGTCAGAGGCGCCTGTGGCGGCCTGAGCACTCTGCCAGCGAAAACAGGCTCCTGGCTCCAATTTTGACTGCGATGGCTTCCTGCATCCCTCTGCCAGTGAAAATGGAGCTTGGGAGAGCCGCCTGCAGCCCTTGGATGCACCATTTTCAGCTGCGATGGCATCCTGCAACCCTCTGCCAGCGAAAATGGAGTTTTCTGTTTTTGCTAGCACAGGCACCATGGGCCAGTTCTCTGCTGTTTCCAGGGCGGCCCCGCAGGCCAGATCTAAGCATCCCATGGATTGAAATACTTGCAATTTGAAAAGCTTTGCCCACTACCTCTTGAATTCCTTTTTGAAATGAGACCTGCAGGAGAGAAACGGAGTTTTAATGTAATTTATTAAACCCTAATAAATAAGCTGATCTAGTTCATTCTTATAAATGAAATGCAACCTATCCTTAAAGCCTCTGTTAATTATCATGATCTCTGTGATTGGCATCTATGGGCTATGCAACGCTACAAAATCCATTTGGAGTATACAAAGGTTTACACCCCTTTTCCACAGCATTCCTATCACAATGGTTTTCAAACTTAGCAACTTTAAGACAACTGCATGCTGCCCGGGGAATTATTGGAGTAACATCTTAAAGTTACAGAGTTTGAAAAACACTGAACTACAAGGTAATGGAATGCTTCTCTCCTAACTACAAACACTCACTGGATGGTTTGTTTGTTTTTATCTTCTCAGTAAGCATTTTCCTTATCTGTTTTCAATTGCTATGGTTGCAATGGCTTCTTTTCAAAAGTGTGGTAGTTATAAGTTTCTGTAGTGCAATCGCCACTCGCACGATGGGTTTTGTTTGTGATGGGCACAGGACTTATCCATATTATCAATTATTATCTTAAACAATTCCTCTCAACAGATAACCATGCCTTCAAATCCTACCCAGTAAACACCTCTCCAAAGGTGTGAATGATTTCCAATCAGGCTACCATCAAATGTGTCAGCTAAACACAGTCCCCACTACCGCTATAAAGTGCTTGTAACATTTAGTGGCTTCAGCATCAACTTTAGTCATATCCCCGGCCAAAGATACCTAAATAATCACATTTAAGGGACATGTCCTCCAGAGGTAACTTCTGTCTCATCCCCATCCTACACTGTCAAACTATTTACTAAGTCTGCACTACTATTCATCTTCTCATCGTTCCCACCACCCATCTCCTTTCACTTATGACTGTATGATTGTAATTTTGTTACTTGTATCCTTACGATTTATATTGATATTGTTTCCTGATTGCTTATTTGTACCCTATGACTATCATTAAGTGTTGTACCTTATGATTCTTGATGAACGTATCTTTTCTTTTATGTACACTGAGAGCATATGCAGCAAGACAAATTCCTTGTGTGTCCAATCACACTTGGCCAATAAAAAATTCTATTCTATTCTATTCTACCGAGGCATTCTATGCATGTCTTTATGTCCTGCTAGCATTCCATGAAGGCCCTCCATTTTCTGTTTTTTAGAGGACATGGTCTTCTGATGCAGGCATTGTTGAACTTCTAGTTCCACTGCAGTGTTTTTTTCTTCTTAAATACATGCTTGCTATGGTTGATGGGGCTCAGTCTGCAACAGTGGCAATCCAACCAATTCTACAGATGGAACTGACAGCTGGGATACCAGCAATTTCTACCTATGTATGATAGCCAAGGTATCCTGTCAGATGGTTGTTTCCATCAGTGATTCAATCCATATTATTTTGTCACCATTCCCTCCCAGGGATCAGAAGACATCCTCGATTCCATCCTAAACAGGGCTGCTATTCCAGGAATGTGTTGACTCCTGTACATATGGGTCACTTTCACTATGACTATATGAGTCCTATTATCATTATGTCACCATCAAAGTATCCCATCATTTCTTTATTGCTTATTTGGGGTCTAGATGTGGACTTTGTGCATCATTTTGTATATGACTTCAACCACCTGGTTTGCTTTGAGCTGGCCAGGAGCTACAACTAGTAGCTTTGCAAAGTTATTCTACAGCATGACTGTCAAATTCGCCATGTCATGTTGCCATCACGTGACATTTTGCAACGTTTTCCCCCTTCTCTTTCTACAGTGATCATTTTTATCAAGATCATAAGGATTTCCTATACCTCTAATTTAATGGGGCCGCTAGGACAGAAAGTTACTTTTAATCTAAAGTGATTCTATGGGTAAGAGCAGCAAAATATTATCAGCATTCTTTCTGATAAAAGAAATCCATATGTGGATAATTTATGCCCCAGTTGGAAGGACTAAAGGAACTACAGTTTTCAGCATCCTTCACTACTGCCCACACTATCTGGACTTACTGTAACAGAAACATATGAAGCATGGCTGTTTCCCATCCATTTATGCAGTAAATTCATTCATATGCTGATGTTCATCAAGAAGTGTTTGTCATATCTGAATCACAACCCTGATTTGAATCTTAATGAACTATCTACATGCATCTTTGTAGACTTGTATTCCTATCCAGAGTCACAGACCTGGGTGAGACTAATTCATTAATTGGATCATGGGCAAAATATCCTCCTGACTGTAGAAATGTTTTAAAAACAGCAGCTGAAAGTACAGACCATTTATAGTCATAAGCATCTTAGACTAGACTAGACTAGACTAGACTAGACTAGACTAGACTAGACTAGACTAGAATAGAATAGAATAGAATAGAATAGAATAGAATAGAATAGAATAGAATAGAATAGAATAGAATTCTTTATTGGCCAAGTATGATTGGACACACAAGGAATTTGTCTTGGTGCATGCACTCTCGGTGTACATAAAAGAAAAGCTACATTCGTCAAGAATCATAAGGTACAACACTTAATGATAGTCATAGGGAAACAGTCAATATAAATCTTAAGGATACCAGCAACAAGGTTACAGTCACACAGTCATAAGTGGGAGGAGATGGGTGATAAGTTAAAGTAGTACTCAACTATTTCTCCAAGTGAGAGAGTTGATGTGACTTCTGTTTCTTTGAAATAGTACAGTTTTGTTATGTCTATTTGTTTAAAGTACACAAGCAGAGAAAACTGTAGGAAAACAGATCTCCTGTGTCTAATTTTTGGCAAGCGGTGTTTATAGTCCCCTTTCCCCAAACCCCTAAACCTGTTTTTGTGTAGTTAAAATTATCAGGATTTTGCATAGTAATTCCACACTCCATTGTCTTTGTGGCAGAAAGCTCCCTCAAACTGTATTTAGTCCATATGTAATTTTAGAGATGATATTCATTTATATCTATTCTTATACACTGCCTTTCAGGAACCAGCCCTCCCGAGATGACTCGCAATATCTGAAAAACATAAGTAGTCATTATAACATATTGCGAAGTGTAAAACCATAATTTATAAAGCATAAAAACAAAACCAAAAAAAATGTAACAGCAGCCATTAAGCAATATAAAAGAGTACAAGCAGTAAAGCATAAAAATTTCAAACAGCAGCAGTTAAATTCAGAACAACTTAAATGCCAATTAAAAGAAAGTTGGAACAAAGAGCCTTCAGGGACCTAGAAATATATTTCTACTGTAGAAGGATATTTCATAAGCTTAGAAAGGCACATTTCTAATTGCCCACCTTGTCTAATACCCTACAAGCAAGGCCTTAAAGCCAGTCTTAGTATCACCACAAAATTATTTGATCCTAAATCTTTGAAAAATGTGGCTTATATTGTACTTCATCCCATAACTATGAGTTCCATTCTCTGTACCAGTTTGAAGCTTTCAAATATCTTTGAAGGACAGATTGCCACAGAACACATTATAGCCTTGGTGTAACTAGAGTTTATATGGGGCAGTCATATAAAGGAAGGTTAGCAAGAGAAGAGTGGGAAACTAGTTTAATATAGCAGATAAAGGCACCAGGCTAGAACCTTGCATTCTACTCCTGCCTTAGACATATGGCCAATTGGGTAACTTTGGGTAGGTGTCTCTCAGGAAGATAAAAGAAAGAAATTCCAAAAATATAGGCAAGAAATCCACAGTGACTAGTTCAGGCAATCACCAGGAGACAAGTGAAGGCATAAAATTAAAATATGAATTAGCTAGGGAAGCAGGCAGGTGTCATCCACAAAACTAAAAGGGACAAGATTAGAAAATGTTGCAATAATTCAATGTATAGTTATTTGATTTTAGTTTTCTTTTTTTTTTTCTGCAGGCTCCTGGAGAGAAAGTTGTTGGAAAGGACATGACAGTAATAGTGGAGTTCCCCAACCCTCTGAAGCAAAATCTCACCAATGTCTGGGTCCGACTTGATGGCCCTGGTGTGTTAAAACCAGTCTCAAAATTATTCAGGTAAGGAAAGGCCCAGTATGGCATACCGGTAGTTTTCTGGGTATTCATTACAAAATGAACACTAAATGTGCCACCATATTTGAGCAATATCGATTTCTTTCTTGAGGGCATGAAATCAGTCTTCTCCAATCATTTGTCCTCCAGGTATGTCAAGATTATAACTCCCAGAAACTTCAGCTAGCAAAGTTCTGCTAACTGGGAATTTAGCGAGTGATTACCTCCAAATATCTGTGAATTAGAGGAATTGATCTAAATTATTATAAAACTGTGTTCCTTCCCCGGGCATCAAGTGACAGCACGATACTGTATCCAGATAATGAACAAATAACTTAATGTTACAGTAATGTGTTACTGGAATAGTTTAGCAGCTAAATTATGAAAATGTAATCCAGCAAAACTCATTTAAAATGTCACTTATTTTAAGAAAACATGAAATAAAATAGCATTTCTCTGCCTCATCCTCATTATCCTTACTGTCCATCTGATATTGATGACAGTAATAATACACTTTACAAAGCTGTGGCATTCTTATAAATCTAACTCAAATTTTTTAAACATTGAAAAATTCCTACATAAATTCTCATGACACTTCCATATGAGTCAGTCTGAAAGCAGATCCAGGTCAACGTGTGTTTGGGGATCTAACTGATTTAATTCAGGTTCAGCTATGATGTCACTAAAACCAGTCCAAATTCCTCTCCTCTCCCCTCCCCCTCCCCTCCCCCTTGTCTCCCCTCCCTCCCCTCGATTTCATTCACTTATTGGAGGGAAAGCATCCCTCACCTTTTCTCCCAATTCCTCAACTTCAGGTCCCACAAAGAGAATGCTAGGTTGTTGGCTATGAAGCTCTCCCTCAAAAGGCAAGAGGGAAAAAAGGAGGGATGACTATTAAAAAACCAGTTAGTCTTTCTTTCTTTCAAAAACCACAAGAATTGGTTTTTTAAAGTAATAATTAAAAAGGGGGAGATTCTTGAACTTGCATTAATATACAAATCGAACCTGCTTGTTAATAGTGAAAATTTGCTGAGTTCTGATCAGGGAGTGAATTTCACCTAAGGTTCAAACTTCATTGCAAGGAAAATTCTCCTTTATTAATTATCCGGAGTCTAAATAATCAAGTAAACTTTTTCTTTCTTTCAGTGGTAATTGTAACATAGTATTTTAATCTGATTCTGTTATTTTTAAATTGTTTTAAATATTTTATTGATTTTTTTTTGTTTTCTGCTACCATTTTTATATTTATTTTTTATAATGATATTGAAAGAGTGCTTTTAAGAATAAGAGCAAGAGCAAGGAATCTACAATCATCTAGATATTGCTGAACAGCAATTTCTAGTATCTTGCATCATTGTCAATGTTGTTTGGATCTGTGGGAAGTTGTAATTTAGCAGTCACTTGTGAGCTATAGGTTTCCTCTTCTTGTGTTAAATTATGGAACTATTTCAATGTAAGGTGTCTTGTAAATGTTAATACAAGTACTGAATTACATCTTCATTTGGCATGATTGTGGTAAGTTAAAGTCATAGAAAATAAACCATCACAGATTGTTTAAATATTCATCCCATTTTCCTCATTATATTGAAGATGATAAATGACCAGTCCACCCTGATGGCTCAACACATTACCAAGAATCATCCATCACCACATTACTTCAAGTCAATCGAATTAGTTTGATTTTATTTCATTAGCAAAAAATTAATACTTTTTTCCTCTGGGATATATTCCAGTTTTGTTTTTACTTATTTCTGAACAAGTCCTTTTGGAAATGCCACGCCCAGCCTTCTAGATTGCATTATTTCTTCCTTGACAAAGTTATATGCAAGGGATTATTTTAAACCATCAAGATTTATACAAAAATCTATGTTCTACTACACTGTAGTCACCAGCTTCAACGAGCATTCAAGATTTTGTTCCTGCAACTATAGACTCAAGGCTTAAATGGAAACAGTTCTGAAATTGATTGTTATTAAATTAAAGCTTAAAGATCTAAAAGCCAAACCACATGCTAAGTAGATCCATGGATAACTCAGTCCCACCTTCCATGTGTATATTTTTCGTTAAGAGTCTTGGATTCAAACGGGAACACAGCACTGGAGTAAAACAACTATTATTACTACCGTTATTATCTTGATTTAAATCACCTTTCTACAACTATAATTTGCCCAAGATAGGGAAAAAAACAGACAAGTGAAGACAAATATATACAGTCTATATCTATATCTATAAAGATCTATATCTAGAAAAAAACTGAGCAAATTTTAATTTTTAAAACAAACTATCTAATATTATAGTCCTGATGTAAAATCATCCATTCTTCTTACAACTACCTTGTAAGTTATCGTAAATAAACAGATCTCATTCATAAGTTGTCTAAAAAAAAGAATATAACTCTGAATGATAATTGTATAGTTGCTTAGGTTGTCTAGATATGTGTACATTTTTTAAGGCTTTAAAATAACCCCAATAATTGGAGATAGGTTATCTGTTCAAATCAAAGATTCTTTTTTCTACTACCAAGAATGCTAGTTTATATATTAGATTTATAAACCATGTCAAACTATGTTTGCATTATTGTATTTCACTGCAGAGAGATTCCAAGGAATTCAACCTTGATCTGGGAAGATAAGTATGTTCCAAAGCAGCATGGCTTCCGAAAGTTGATTTCAAGCTTGAATTGTGATGCCTTACGACATGTCTATGGCGAGCTGGACATCAATATTCAGAGTGCCAAGTAAAGATCTTCTCCTTTCTTTCTTTTTTTAAATTCAGTAATTCCACCTTTCATGACAGGAAAGTAAGAGAAAGAACTGCATTTTCAAACTTCTGCCATAATCCAGAAGTTGCCAAACATATATTCTGCGCATATGCTTTCTAATTTTTTTCCAATTTATTTTCAGAGGGGTTTTTTTCCACTCAAAACGATGAAAGTTCAAGTTCATATAAACATATATAAATATCCACATATTCATTTGCATCATGCCTTTTTTCAAAGTTAATTACATGAGGTACATAATCCCCACTTTTGTCACAAACAACACTGTAAAATCTGTTCAACTAAGGGATTGTTGAACTAAGCCTCACACTCATGAGATTTTGATTGAGAGTAAGGTAGATGGCCCAGAAGTAATTTAAGTCCAAGTCTCCTACTTCATGATACAACATCTTTATACCATCGTACCAAATTACACATCAAGTTTACAAGTATACTTAGACTGATTTTCTTTGCCCATCAACGTCTTTGCTGAGATTTAGCACTGAACTGAGTCTTCTTTTGTCCCAAACTGACATAAGCATCACTAAAAGACAATAACTGAGCACCAATAAAAAAAAAACCAGAATTATTTCAACAAACAGCAGAAAATTACTCAATATGAATTAGTTCAAGTGTTAATTAGTTCCCAACTAATAATAAGAATATACACTGTTACATATTAAAATCAGGACAATTTTAAAATATTTCAGCTTCTGGAGCATCCTGAATATTAGTTTTAATTAAAACTTGATATCCCATAGATACTTTGAAAGAGAGAAAAAAATCAGGGCAATAAAATGTTCTCTTTGTTGTCTTTTATTCCCAACAAACTTAGATGTGTGCAAAGTGAGAGTTTGATTCCGAAAACATAGGTTGAATTTTTACTTTCTCCCCCCGCCTTTCATAATAACTTGATTCTTACCAGCATTTTGAGGACTGTCTTGTTGAGTCCTGATGTGTAGAAGCTACCTTGTTTTTCATGGGGAAGAGTCAAAGAAGTCATGAGATTTGCTTTAGCACTTCTGTTAGCAAGTCATATATCCAGAGGGCATCTTTGAGATTTGGCTGAGAATAGAAGCACAGCTGCAGCTATGTCTGAAGTGGGTGAGATCAAAATCAAAACAATGGTGGATGAGATGCTGTGATTCTAGCTCTGCCCCTTTTGAATGGGCATGCAGCCTCAGAGTGGATTTTGAATCTCCTCTCAACAGTCAATGCAGCTGCTTAGATACATTCCTTTCAGTGGCTTACCAGCAATTTCAGTTGCAAATATTAATCTGATTGGTCTATCAGGGTAACCAAAATATTCTGAGTTAGGTGATGTCTAATTGTGACTCACTATTGCCATTAAATATGTACAAATTGTGGGTTGAACTTGCTAGAATATCAATCAGTAATATCAATTACTGATTTCTAGCACAGGCATCTAGGATGATATATAAGAGGAATAAAAAGACATCCCATCCTTAAAGACTATCCTAACTGTCCTTGTATGGCTCAGTGCCAGTGGTGGGTTGCCCCTGGTTCAGACCAGTTCTATAGAACCGGTAGTAAAACTGGTGGGAGGCTCCGCCCACTGACTCCAACGTCATCAGAATGCTTCTATGCATGCACAGAAGCTTCTGTGGATGCGCAGAAGAGTATGCGTGCGTGCATGCGTCCCCATTGCAAAGTGGTAGTAAAGGTAGGTAGAACCCACCCCTGCTCAGTGCCTACTTCACATCTCTGTTTTGGTAGAGATTGCAAGGGGTTAAATCCAACACTGGGACACCGATCCACAAGCTGCGTTCCTTTATAGGCAAGATCAGCCACAATGTATTATTAAGCAAATTTTAAGAAATCGGCTCTAGATTTTTAAAATCATAGAAATTTACTTTCTTGAAACTTGCAAGGTGGCACTAACCTAGCCAACTCTGTTCTTAAAGAGCTAAGCAGAACCATGGTTACTATTTGGATGGGAAGCTATCAGAACAACTCAAAAGATGACATTAAAAAATGAATTCTGTATTGTTACCAACACTGTAAGAGGGCAGCCATGTAAGTCTATGCAGGCAGTCCTTGGTTTATGACCATAATTGAGCCCAAAATTTTCATTGCTGAGTGAGACATTTGTTAAGTGAACTTTGCCCCATTTTACGACCTTTCTTGCCCAGTTGTTAAGTGAATCACTGCAGTTGTTAAGTTAGTAATATGGTTGTTTAGTGAATCTGGCTTCCCCATTGACTTTGCTTGTCAGAAGATTGCAAAAGGTTACATCACATGACCTTGGGACACTGTAATTATCCTAAATATGAGTCAGTTGCCAAGCATATGATTTTTTGATCACATGACAATGGGGATGCTGCAACAGTCATAAGTGTCAAAAACAGTAATAAATCACTGTTTTCAGTGCTGTTGTAACTTTGAATGGTCACTAAACGAACTGTTGTAAGTTGAGGACTACCTGTAGAGCCCAAAAAAATCAGGGGGAGTCTAGTGGCAGAATAATACATTTTACTGAAAAGCAATTGAGCTGTAACTCATAAAAGCTTTTGTCTTTTAATAACATTTGTCTGAAATGATACTACCAGACACCTACTGTTGCCAAGAAAACTATATCGCCAGACTCATGAAATTATTAGCAGTTGAACTTGGCAAGGAAGTCTTTGTTTTTTCACAATTATCATCACAATCATTTATTTTGACCTGGAGCCAAACCATTGTTTCAGAAGAAAAGTTGCTTGTGGAATATTCTAATTCAAGTCTCAAATTGAGTTGACTGTAGACAATAACATACTGTACCTTGGATGAAATTTGTGGGAACAACTTATAACTTAAGGCCCCAGCAAGGCAATTTTAAGTGGTCATTGATAATAAGCCTCTTTTGATGTGCCATGAGTTTATTCCTTTGAGAAATTATCTAATTAAGTGTGCATTGTTAATGAAGTCAGTTTGTATGTAAAATCTGATTATGCTGCTTTACACCAAAGTCGACTACTGTTAATCTTCTTTTCACTTGTGTCTTAAAAGCTTATATCTAAGGATATTTACCCATGTAGTATGACTGTATTACTATTATCCTTCTCATCTTTTCTACCAACTTCTCTTATTGATATTTTAGGATTATATTACTTTGTTGTTTATATGTATACGGAAAGCCTTTGCAAATTCCTTGTGTGTCTGATCACACTTGGCCAATAAAGTATTCTATTCTATTCTATTACCACAAACTAATGCAATAAAAGAATCACATTGCCTGCACGAGTCTCTTCCAGGTCTGGTTGGTTGAATTTAGAGCATACATTTTACTCCCTTTGGACAATCTGCTCCTAATCTGCCATTTCCTAGATATGCTGGATTGCATTTTACATGATAGGTTCACCTATTGTCATAAATCAGGGATTGGCAATGCTGTACATCACAGCACCCAAAAGAGCCATAGATCACCTCTGCAAAACCTCTAGATCAAAATTGCCAGTTTAACTCTGGTTTTTCATTTCATCAAGAAGGTGATTACTTATACAGTTGATAATATCTGTCACAGCAAGCAACAGCATCTAGGCCAGGGGTGTCAAACTCGCGGCGCCATGTTGTCATCACATGACGTATTGTGGCTTTTTCCCCTTCGCTAAACCGGGGGTGGGCGTGGCCAGCATGTGATGCGTCCAACCTGTGTGCCGCAAGCTTGACACCCCTGATCTAGGCTTACCTTGGTTTTCTCGAAAACTAAGCAGGGTTTGGTTTTTTTTAATTCTTGGGTGGAGAGCCAAAAAAAATTTCAGAGCTCCTGGGAAATGGAAAAATCATATTGGGAGAAAACTCAAGCAAGCCATATATTTAATGTTGCCAGGAAAACTGGGATCAATACTTGACTTATGGTCTTCTTTATACAATTTCTGAGTGTAGGTTCAATTGAATAAACTTTCTTTTAAATAAATCCAAATGGGGCTATATGAAAAGCAAGCAAACTTTAATTAATCAATTTGTCTATCCTTCATTTAGCTGAGTTTCTTTTTAAACGTCGGCTGAGATATTGCCACATTGCCATAGACAGATATGTATTTGCATCTTGTTCTGTAAGTAAACATGGCTTCCTCCACAACCTAAATATCTAATTATTTGATTAAATATTTGACGATGGCAAATACATGACTTTGAGCAACACAATAAAAGACTGACCATTTTTGCAATCAATATTATGTAAGTTTTTTTAAAAAAATGGTTGCCACGTCTCCCAACTTTGAGAATTACGATTTAATGGGGAGAAGTAACAGAGGCTAAGAATGAAGTTACTGAAGTTAGGGCTTGAAAGTTAAATCCATGGTTAAACAAACTGGGGAAGTTGAGCCCGAAAGAAAGAGAAGGCAAAGACCTTCTCTGGCAAAGTCCCAGCAGTCTTCATATACTTGAAAGCAGGGGTGAAATCCAGAAGGTTCTGACAGGTTCTGAACAACGAGTAGTGGAAATTTTGAGCAGTTCTGAAAACCGGTAGCGGAAATTTTGAGTAGTTCAGAGAACCGGCAAATACCACCTCTGGCTGGCCCTAGAGCGGGGTGGAAATGGAGAATTTGCAATATCCTTCCCCCAGGAGTGGGGTGGGAATGGAGATTTTGCAGTATCCTTCCCCTGCCATACCCACCAAGCCACGCCCACCAAGCTACACCATGCCCACCAAGCCACACCCACAGAACCGGTAGTAAAAAAAAATTGGATTTCACCACTCCTTGAAAGGTTGTTATAAGGTAAATAGTGTGGATTTATTCTTCATTGTTCCAGAGGATAGGACAAAAACAAATGGGTGGAAACTTTACAGATCCGAATTCAAATAAGGAAGCATTTCCTGACCTTGAGACTACCAAAGAGTAGAACAACCTGCTTCCTGCACTCATGGCTGCTCCATCACTGTAAGTTTTCAAGCAAAGGCTGGGTTTATTACAAGGTCTTTACATGCAATGGTTCTGAGAAGCAGATCTTTTCCAAGCATTTATCAATATCTTGAGTGTTTTCATATAGTGGGAGAATAGTTCTGCACACATACATGCATGACAAGTACAGTACGTGGGTTGGAAATGTTGCAAAAAATGTTAGTTATTACTATACTACACTAGTATTATTACTGTTAATACTTTGCTTTTCTCTCAAAAATCTGTTCCTTCATGAGGGTAATTAATACCTTTCCCTCTCTACAGGAAAAGCTCAATAACAAGGTTTTTGTGTATATATATGGTAGTTTATTATATGTGCAAATATCAATAATATCTATTTGTCTTGACTTGAGCAGTAGGCACATTTAAGGTTCTCTTCTGCATAGAAACCTATTTTATATTACACTGTATAAAATCCATAGTGTAATAGAAATGCCAAGCTTGATTAACACAACACATGAAAGCTTCTGTTGGACCTTTCTGAATGTTCTTTGTACAAAGGAAAACTGAGAAGCTTTGAAAAGGATAACACAACTGGAAGGCTGAGATTCACAACCTGCAAAATGGCACAACGCAAAGTGTCCTTAGTCCCTTGCTCTTCTATAGACTAGCTGTCCAGAATACAGCCTATAGTGCAATCCTAAACTTTTTGCTCTGAAGGAAATCCCATTGAGTTCAATAGGAATATTCTTTAGTAAGCCTACTGATTATTGCTGCTTTAGTTTAGGCCTGCACTATACTTTGGGGAACTGTTGATATTGTTTGCTCCTGTGCCTAGCAAATAAAAACAATAATAACTATGAATGAAGGTGAATATACAGTACATGTCCCAGAATAATGTTGCAGGATCTAATCTGGGTCAATCATCGGGACTAGAGGTTTTGTCTTCCAAGCTTTCGGACTCATCCTGGAGCCAATCTTCAGGGAACTTCTCTCTTCAGGGAACTTCAGAGAGAAGTTCCTTGAAGATGGCCTCCAGGACAAATCTGAAAGCTTGGAAGACAAAAAGTCTGGTCCCAGTCATTGACCCCGATTGGATCCTGCAACACCAACTTTTCCCATTTCACTTTGTTTGCTTCCTCAAGAGGAGGGAAGCAAAGAAAATGGAGCACCAAATCTCCATCACTGAGCAGAAGATACAAGAAGACATAGGTCAATGGATAACTTTGTGTCTCATCCCGTTTCAATCTGACTGAAGCTCCTGAGAGAGGAAAGAAAAACGAGAGGGTCACAAGTTATCGACAAGCAAGCCCAGACACCAGCTTCCTTCAGCAGCTAAGAATAGAAGACCTCCACTCTCAAAATAAAATGGCCAGACCTGTTTTTTTACCTCCCTTTACCAGGCACTTTCAGGTGTATTCAGCTGGAAGTGACACAAAGCTCCAGAGTGCTACAGTGCGCTACAGTGACCCTAGTGCATCCATGCAGTTTTGCAGGATGACCAGATCCAAACTCCGTTGCTTGATCCTCAAAAGCCACATCGCAGAGCTACCTTCAAGTATTAAGGCCCTTTCATTTATGTCACCATAGCACCCCTTCGTTTTAACTTTTGATGTTATCGATAGCTTCAGTCAAATGCCAACCACATTTTAAAACAGCAAAAGGAATAAGGACTGTGTGTTAAGAGTGCACGCACCTATACACGCACACAGAAAGAAAAACATGCAAGTTGAGTTAGTATCTGGGACAGATGAGTGAATGTCTAGAAAAGTTGCAAAATTGGCCAATGTCTGGGAGGGCTGGATAAAATCAACGTGCACTTCAAGAGCTAGGCTGATAAACCAGAAATCAGAGTCATGGCATTTTAATGTATCAGAGTTAAAAGTAGTTGTAATTTAAAAGCATAAGGAAAGGTGCAGCAGAAAAGCATATTTTGAGACAATCATCTAAATCAGGGGTGTCAAACTTGATTTCATAGAGGGCCGCATCAGGGCTGTTTGACCTCGGGTGGAGGAGTGGGCAGGACCAGGGTGGGCATGGCCAGCTCGACGTCATTCGTGTCAGGGGTGCCTGTGGTGGCCCGAGCGCTCTGCCAGCGAAAACAGCCTCCCGAGCTCCATTTTCGGCTGCGATGGCCTCCTGCAACCCTCTGCCAGCAAAAATGGAGTTCAGGAGGGCCACGCGCGGCCCTGCCGAGCTCTATTTTCACTGCAAGAGGCACCCCAGGCCAGTCCTTTGCTGTTTCCCGGGCAGCCCCACGGGCCAGATCTCAGCACCCTGTGGGCCGTATCCGGCCCCTGAGCCTTGAGTTTGACACCCCTGACCTAAATGAATCAGATAGATAAATAAATACATTGCTGGAAATTTGTGAAGAGTTTACCTAACGGGAAAGTGGATTTCCCAGATAACTTTTTATTGAAAAAAATGGAATAGGATGGTGTGTATTGACAAGTATTTCCCACATCTACTCGTTTTTTGTCTCAGAGTAGAAAATATGCAAATTATATCATGCATATACAAAAATCATGCATATTACATGACCGATTACTGTCCAATAGTAGCCTGTGAGCTATGTGGCCATCTCAATCCTACCGACACTGTTTCCCCATCAGCAGGAACTGAACCTATATCTTTCAATGTATAAACATATATAGGATGCTTTAGTAGTCCTTGCAGAATTGTTTCCTAAGCCTGTTACCTCTAGATGGGGCTAAAGAGTCTTTGGCTAAATGACAACAGCAAATACACAAGCACCTATCCAGCTGGGTACAGAATAGTGTTGTTTGCAAGAGGCCAGGAAAGGCTGATGACAGAAACTTTAATTCCTGATTATCCATCAAGAGGGATACAATATAAGCCACTCTGGGCACACCAATAGTCCTTCACAGGCTGTGAAACAACATCTGGGGCCAGAAGGCAGCTTTTCTTTTTAGCATATAAAGCAAAAGCAAATTATGACGGAGCCAGCATGGGAAGGCACTCATACTTGGAGGATTCCATTTAGCCCCAGTGGGGAAGGGAATATTAGAGAGAAGAATGAGTGACAAGCCAGATGATTTCCAAAAGCACCAGAGGGCAGGACAAGAAATAAAGGATGGAAACTAATCAAGGAGAGAAGCAACCTGGAATTAAGGAGAAACTTCCTAACAGTGAGAACAATTAACCAGTGGAACAGCTTTTGCCTTCAGAAGTTGTGGGTGCTTCATCCCTGGAAGTTTTTAAGAAGAGACTGGACAGTCTGAAATGGGATAGGGTCTCCTGCTTGAGCAGGGGGCTGGACTAGAAGACCTCCAAGGTCCCTTCCAGCTCTATTCTGATTCTAATCATCAGATGCATTTTAAAGACACAATGCAAAATGTCTGCTTTTGCTGGACCTTGTGACCAAACACTAAAAAC